CACGGTACTATTGCCCAGTAGCAGTGTGCATGAGACCTGGCTCAATCCCTAGCACCGAAAAAAAATGTATTATTTTTATTCCCGTTTACAGATGAGAAAACTGAGATCCCAGACAGTTAACCAAGCTCACACAGACAATAAACAGACTATGGGTCCTGTGGGGCTTTTTGTTTGTTTTTTATGGCCCTGGGAGTGGAACCCAGGGCCTTGTACTGAGCTCCATCACCAACTCCCCCTCCCTGTTTTAAAAATCCAGACAGGGTCTTGCTAAACCACTAAACTGCCTAGGCTGGGCACGAACTTGCTATCCTCCTGCTTCAGCCTCCCCACAGCCTCCCAAGTACAGTGGGTTCATGAACACTTGTGCTTTTCGAGCAATCTGGTTCAAAAAGAGAAGCCTTTGGCAGCTTTGCTTTTGTGTGAACTCTGTGTAGGGGGATGAACACAGGCTCGGCCATCTTCCCCACACAAACACAAACATGGCCTTCTTTTCCAGAATCGTGGAACAAACTGAGGTGCCACTGTACAGTGGACCCTTGACTTACGAACTCAATTCATTCCTGAGGGCTGGCTGTAACTCACGTTGGTCAGTGAAGGCCCAGGCCCCTCTACACAGCCTTCAAAGCCTCTCTTCTGTACACAGGCAGATCTCAGTGTCCTTAGAGAGACACTGGCCCAGGATTTCTCAGTGAACCCCATACAGGAAGGACGTTGTAATGTTCTTTCCGGAACTGTTTAAGAGTTAAATCTATATCTGAGACCATCTGGAAGCACAAGCGGCAGGCATTTGAGTCAAAACTCAAGACTTGTCTGTAAGTTAAAGGTAAAATTCCAGTTGTAACCCAAGTTGTACCTATGTCAGGCCGGTTGTAACTTAGGGTCCACTGTGCAAGGATTACAGGCGTGCACCACCATGGCTAGCTTGATCCTTTGTTCTTCCTAAGATACAGCCTGGTTCAAAGCATCTGTCTGCCTAGAGAGCTGAGAATCTCTGGCTCCAAAAGGACGAGGGACCCAAGGCGTCCTGGTGCCAAAGGCGCTGGGTTTGATTTCAGCGGTCACATCAGCAGTGGGGGGTCGGGTGTTGCCCTCGCCCGGAAGCAGGTTAGGCACGGCGTCTTTGTCCACTTCCACTAAGTAGCCCCAGTCCCTAAAGACGTGGAAATGGAAACGTGGCTCCCGCGGACACTCCCAGTAAATCACAGGCTGGGCTTTCTAAGCAGCCGGTGCTGATTAAAGGAGAGAGAGGAGGGGGTGGGGCCGGCGCTTCCTCCCTCCCCCACGGCACAACCCTCCCGCTTCCGGTTTTGCTTTTTGTTTCCCAGGGTTGGAAAGATCCAGATCTGCAGTCTTTCAAACTTCAGACGGTATAATTGTGAAATTTCTGTTCAGACAAAATTTGCGGAGTTGTCGCTGCTGGGAGTGTTAGACACAGGGTCTCACAGTCGTCTGAGTGGGTCCCGTTAGGGTCCCTATGCTGCAGACAAGGAAACAGTTTTGCCAAAGCAGCAGCAGCTCTTCCACGGTCCGAGGTACCAGGTGCGGGCTGAGGAATCTGAGGCCAGGTCTGCTGGAGTCCTGAACTTACACTCAGTGAAGCGGCCTCAGTTTGGGTTTGTGTGTGTTGTGTTGGGAGAATGCAGTCCCCTGAGATTCTCCCTGTGCCCAGGGGATGGTGAGAACCTTAGGAGCACCAGGGAGCAGTTTAAAAACCTGGGAACAGGGGCTGGGGATTTACCTCAGTGGTTCCACCGTCTGCCTTGCAAGTGCAAGGTCCTGAGTTCGATCCCTGGTTCCAAAAAAAGAAAAGCGGATTGGCGGTTACTTGGGGCTGGAGAGAAGTGGGAAAGACCGTCCGGGAGCTTGAGAAAACGCTTTCTTTCTCGCTTCCTGCGTTGGGTATACTAGGGCCTGAATCCAATCCAGGGCTGCCGGCCTCCCAGGCAAGCGCTTTACCACCGAACTACATCTCCAGCCTGTCTTGCCTTTTGAGACAAGGTCTTACCAAGTTCCCCAGGCTGGATTCAAACATGATCCTTCCGTCTCAGCCTCTTGCATAGCTGGGATTTTGGACGTGCACCGCTGCGGTCTGGCCCCAGAAAGTTTGGAGGGGATCAACAGCTCATTACTGTATCTCAGTTGTGGTGGTGGTGGTTTCACAAGTGTGTCTGTGTGTTGAATATACTTCATTATCTTAAATATTATGCAGTCTAAATACATGCAGTGTTTTGAATGAAATTATACCTCAAAAATGCTGCTTAAAAAAAACCCCACTCGGTATGCTGGGTGGCACACACCTGTAACCTCAGCACTGGGGAGGCTGAACCAGGAGAACTGTCACAAATTCAAAGCCAGCCTGGCCTCTATAGTGAGTTCAAGGCCACCTTGAACTACATCTCAAGACCCTGTCTCAAAAATCCCCCAAATAGCTGGAGATTTAGCTCAGTGGTTCCGGCGCCTGCCTTGCAAGTGGAAGGTCCCGAGTTGGATCCCTGCTACCATAAAAAAATTAAATAAATAAATGGGAAAGTTGATTAAATCCTAATAAGTAAAATAATGAAAATACTATTCGAAAGTGCAAGGTCCTAAGTTTGATCCCTGGTACCAGAAAAAAATCCCCCAAATAACTAAATAAACTAATGAAAAAGGGCTGGGGAAGTAGCTTGGGGAGAAGGCTCTGGGCTGATCTCTAGTCCAGTGAAGACTTCTGGTGCTCACTCAGCTCGGGAGGGGCTCCCCTTGGCCCCAGGCCTCTGTGGAGAAGGGGTCCCCCCAAATCCAGCCCCCAAGCTCTGCTCCACCACCCAGGGCAGAGTGGCTTCTCCCCAGCCTTGGGGCAGGGCCCACAGGGAGCTGCAAGCAGGCCAGAGTCCCTGGACCCGCAGGCAGCTCTGGGACACCTCCAGGCTGCGGTCCTGGTCCTCAGCGCCCCACTTCCAGGGACCAGGGGTGCTGGGTGGGGGACCCGACCCACAAGATGAGCGTGCCCAGATGGCAGCTGACTCTGCCCCAGGGCTCCCCAGTGCTGCTCTGGGTGCAGGAGGCGGTGCTGGGCCAGAACCGGGACAGGAGGGACCAGATGGAGACGGATGAGGCTGGTGAGGGCAGTGCGACCCGAGGGAAGCAGCCGCCTGTGGGGTGCGGAGCAGGAAGGCGCCTGCGTGGACCCCCGAGGGCCAACCACAGCCAAGGAGACACCGAGAGTGGCGCCTCTCGGACTGGAGCCCCCCTCCTCCCATTCTGGAGAGACCAGGACCGAGTCTTCATTCTGGCCACCAAGCTCCTCGAGGTGCCGGATGAGGACAGCAGGAATCTGATGGTCCAGGTCACCCCAGTCTCACTCCATGGTGAAAGCAGCCTCTCACCGTGTGTCCCCATGACCTGTTCACAGGTGCACCAGGCAGGAACGACTTCCGGGAGGCTTTTCCCTCCTCCAGGCCTGCGCCCGCCAATGTAAAGTTCTCCACCATCCAGGCCGCGTCCTTGGATGTTCAGATGTTTTAAAGATTCTTGTTTCAGTTTCTGTCGTTAGCTGTTTCCCAGGCCAGCATGTACCTCTCCTGTTCCCCTTTCTCTTTCCTCAGCCCACGCTCGCTCTGCAGAGCCAGTTTCTTCCAACTCTTCACTTTCACTTTCTCCAGTAAACTTTGCCACTGCTTTAAAAAAAAAAACCTACATAACCAAAATCTCTTTAATATTCTCAAGTTTTTCACAACGCAGTGGACTCGAGTTACGACCAGCCTGATACATGAACAACTTGGGTCACAACTGGAGTATTAGTTTTAACTTATGAACAAGATCTTGAGTTACGACCCGAATGCTGGCTGCTTGTGCTTCCAGATGGTCTGATACAGATTTAACCCTTAAAGAGTTCTGGAAGGAGCATGACAGCATCCTCTCCTATGTGGGGTTAACTGAGAAATCCTGGGCCAGTGTCTCTCTAAGGACACTGAGATCTGCCTATTGACAGGGGAGAGACTTTGAAGGGTGTGTAGAGGAGCCTGAGCCTTCACTGACCAATGTGAGTTACAACCAGCCCTTGAATGAACTGAGTTCGTAAGTCAAGGGTCCACTGCATATAAGATGAGAAAGTTTACTGAGTGTGGTGGTGCACACCTGCAATTGCCATATACTGGAAGCCAACTGGGAGACCTGTCTCAAAATCCTTCCCCAAACAAAAAAGCTACACAAACTAAAACATTCAAATTGTTGACGCAAAAAATAGCTTTGTAAGGCACTAATCTTTAGACTGACTAGAATTCTAATCACCATTTATATATATTTGATTAAACATGCAGAAAAAGAATAGCTTTCTGATTTTGTTTCTTGGCTTTTTTAGACAGGGTCTCACTATGTAGCCCAGGCTGCCCTTGAACTCACAGCAATCCTGCCTCAGCCTCCCAAGTGGTGGGGTTCCATATGAAATCACCTGATTTGATCCCCTAATGACCACTTGCTGCCGCTGCTTCTTTTACATTTTATGCCTGTGGACACAGAGGTCAAGCGGCCCAGCTGGGGGGACTAGGATGGGAAGCCACCGTGGCAGCCTCTTTACAGCCTCTTGCCGGTGTACCAACTGTTTTGACATTTGATAACCTTCCACATGCAGCTCACTTGCTACACTAGTTTCTCAAAATATGGAGTCTAAGAAAGTAGCAAAAAGAAAGGATATCGCTGATCTGGCCCAACAGCTTCCCTCTGTTAGGGAGGCAGAGGGTGTCCAGAGGGGCAGCAACTTGCTGAAGATCACACCGCGAAGAACCAGGCTGCGCGTGGGCCGGCTCCCAGTATGAAGCCCCAGAAACCTGACCCAGTGAGCACAGCGACAGCGTAATGAGGGCAGGCAACAGAAGATCACGAAAGGGCAACTCTTCCGAGAGGCAGCTCGACTTTATTGCAGAGACGCTAGGGAAAAGCGGGGTCAGTGGGGTCTCCACGGGGCTCCATCGCTGAGCCGGAAGGGCAGGTCCCCATCTGGAAGCCAATCAGCAGCCTAGGGGAGACGGAGACGTTCTATGGAACCAGCGCGCCGTCTACTGGGCATGCGGCAGCAGTGCAGAGGCAGTAAAAATTACACGACAGGCTGCGGTTGAGCTGGTAGTGGTGCTAAGACAAACCCTGCGGCCTCTTCTAGGGCACCCCGGTGCTGCTGGATCCTCAGGCCCACGGTGCCCCCGTCCTGTTTCAGTTTAGGTCACAAAGGCAGTAACAGAATCATGAGCAAATAGTCTACTGAGAGCCAGGTGACCAGGTGACTTCATGACCAATAAGCTCTCCGGCTGGGGTTCCCAAACCTGGCTTCAAGGCCATTAGCGAGAAGCCTCTTCAAACAGATGTCTGCAGGCCTGGGGGCGCACGCCCCTAATCCTGGCACTCGGGGGGCTGAGGCAGGAAGATCGCTGGAAGTTTGAGGCCAACCTGGGCTATATGGTGAATTTAAGGCCAGCCTGAACTACACAGTGAGACGCTGGCTCAAAAATGCAGAAAAACAGGGCCAGGGATTTAGCTCAGTGGTTTCGTTGCCTGCTGTGCAAGCGCAAGAACCCGAGTTCGATCCCTGGTACCGGAAAAAAAAAAAAGCAGAAAAACAAAACAAAAACAGACGTCAAAGGTGGATGGCATTTGAGTGTGTGGGGTATCTGGTAATGCTTGCCTGGTGATTTGTGTGTGTGTGTGTGTGTGTGTGCGCGCGCACGCGCACACGAGCCCCTTGACCATGCTAGGCAAATGCTTTACCACTGAGCAACACTGTCAGCCCCTGATCAGGGATTCAGTGATACTTTATTCGTGTGCATCCAAATCTCCAGCAGCTCTTCCATACTGCACATGGTTACTGTGGCACGGATACACCTAGTAAAGGCTGGAGTTTGCTTCCAAGTAACTGGGTAGGGCACATGAACAGCAACGGCAGATTTCAGGTCGTTGTTGGAGCTGGGTGGCAGATACTTAGCAATTCACTTTATTACACTACTAATATATTCTGAAACCTCCTAAAAGAAATACAAATGATGGTGAGAACTCCTCAACCATAGAAAACAATAAAATACAGACACATGCTACAAACGGGATGAATCTTGGTGTTATGTGAAAGAAGCCGGGCACACAAAGGTCACATCTGGCTCGATTCCTCTGACATGAAATGCCAGAAGAGGCAAATCTGGAGCAGCTGCCAGAGGCCGGAGAGAGAGGCAGTGGGGAGTCACTACTGAAGCAGCAGGGAGGGCTCTTCTAGGGTGATGAAAAGGTTTGCAGCCAGACAGAAGTGGTAGCTGTACAACACTGCCCATGCACCAAACACCATTAATGTACACTAAGCCTTGTCCATTTCAACTTAATTTTTAAAAAAATAATATGAGCAAACAACACAGTAAGCTATGCATGGTTTACAAACATGCCTGTGATTCCAGCTTCTTGGGAAGCTGAGGAAGGAAGATCGAAAGGTCAAGGCCAGCTTGGAGAACTCAGTGGGGCTGTCTTTTTTCATTTTGGGCAGCCATGGGGATTGAACCAAGGGCCTTCACACTGAGCTGCATCCCCAGCCCTTTACACTTTTTGAGACAAGGGCCTGCTGAGTTGGCCAGGCCAGAACCAACCCTGCCAAGACCTCCAAAGTGGCTGGGGTTCCAGGGGTGCACCTCCACGCCCAGGTGCAAGAAATAAAATAAAAAGCGCTAGAGATGCAGCTCGGAGGCAGATGCTTGCCTAGGACGTGCAAGGCCCTGGGTTCAGCCTCAGTACGGAAGAGAAAACTACATATGCCCACGCTGGGAGTTTCCAGCAATCCTGGGTCGGTCCCAGCGCACCCACTTCAGTCCTCACGTGGGTTGCGTCCGGGGCGAAAGGGCAAGAGGGAAAGTGCCTGACACCCCGACTTGTGCGTGGGGTCACTGGGTCCACAGAACACCGCCCGGGCTCAGGTCCCAGCGTCACTGTCTGGGGGGCTCAGGAGGGCCCCTCGCCTGTGTGCGGGGTCGCGCTGCCCGCACCTGAACAGAAACCCCGCCGACCAGGACCCGCACCCTCAGGTCCTAAGGGGACTCTCCCTGAACTTATGACTTCCATGACGCAAGAATACGGTACTTCCAACCAGCCCACAAGGCGGACAGCAGAGTGAAAATAAACCAGGGGTTCCCCTTCCCCCTGTAGATCTAAAGGCCGAGGTATGGGCTACATATCCCCATTTCAGAAATCTGAATTCCTAAATGCTTCACGATAGGAAACATCCTGAGCATCTTATCTGGACTCAAAAAAACCATTTTAGCCAGGTGTGGTGGCACATGCATGTAATCCCAGCATTCGGGAGGCTGAGGCAGGAGGATTATGAGTTTGAGCCCAGCCTGGGATACACAGTAGACCCTGTCTCAAAAAAAAACAAAACAAGGGGCTGGGGATTTAGCTCAGTGGTTTGACCGCCTGCCTCGAAAGCACAAGGACCCAAGTTTGATCCCCGGTACCAAACCAAACCAAACAAAAAAACCAGATCTCTCACCATGCACTAAACTAAAATCAAAATGAATTAAAGATCTAAATATTAAAACAGAAATACTAAACCAGCTGGAAGAGAGGTTAGTTAGAACTCTTAAAGACACTGGCATAGGAAAAGATTTTATGAACAAAACCTCAGTCACATGTGAACTAGCACAAAGTAACAGCCAGTGGGATCTCTTCTTATTAAAAAGCTTCTGCATAACAAGAGAAACCACCAACAGTTCGAAGAGATAACCCACAATGTGGGAAAAAATTTTCACACTATCTAGAATATATAAAGAACTTAAAAAAAATCAGACCTCCCAAATTTAAAGACCCAATCTGAAAATGGGCATCTGAAATGAACAGACATTTCTCAAAGAAGATAAAGAGCAAATAAACATATGAAAAAATGTTCAACATCACTGGTCATTTGAGAGATGCAAATGAAAACAACACTGAGATTCCACCTCACCCCAGAAAGAATGGCTGCTATCATGAAATCCACCAATAACAAATGCTGGTGGGGCTGTGGGGAAAGAGGAACCCTGCTCCACTGCTGGTGGGAGTGCAGACTGGTGCAACCACTGTGGAAATCAGTATGGAGATACCTCAAAGAACAAGGACTGGAAGTCCCATTTGACCCCGCTATTCCCCTGCTGGGGATCTTCCCCAAAGAATTAAAAGAATCATACCACAGTGATATATGTGCACCCATGTTCATAGCAGCACAGTTTGTGATAGCTAAAACTTAGAAACAGCCCAAATGCCCATCAACTGGAGACTGGATGAAGAAAGTGAGGTTTTTCTATAAAATGGAGTACTACTCAGGCATAAAAATGAGAAATTAGAGACATTTATAGCTAAATGGATCCACACTGAGGCCATCCTCTTAAGTGAAATAAATAGGACACACATGTATAAATACCGAATAGTTTCTCTCGTGTAAGAAACTGAAAGTGTAAATAAGGACTAAATGTATAATAGGTAATGTGAAATAGGAAGAAAAGGGGCAAAGGGGAAGGAAGTGGGAGGGGAAGGGGAAAGGAAAGAAGAGAATGAAATTAATATGAGAAAAAGCAAACGAAGTGTTTGTAAATAGGGAGGGGTGGAGGGGTTGAAGGGAGGACAGGGGAATGGGGAAAAATAAGAACCAAGAGAGAATCTGTAAAGGTGCAAATTCCCAATGATGAATGTCATTATATTGTATACCTAAAATGTACCAATAAAATTCATAATTTGGATCTGGAAAAAAACAACAAAAAAAACCGCAAAAAGGGCTGGGGATGTAGCTCAGTGGCAGAGCATTCGCCCAGCATGAGCGGCTCCGGATGCAGCCCCCAGTCCTGCCAAGACAACACGAAACTTTCAGGCTTGGATTTTCCTAGTTGGGATGCTCAATTAGTGAAACCTATGGAAATATTCTAAAACCTGGGAACTTCCAAATTGGAAACAGCTCTGGTTCCCCGCCTTTCAGATAAGGGAGAAAGGAAGGAAGGGGCAAGAAAAAAAGTGAAAACCGAAGGAAAAAATAGAAACAAAGCTTTTGTACATAGGGAGGGGAGGGGACTTGAGGGGGATGTGATACAATAAAATTAATTTTAAAATTTAAAAAAAGGAGAGAGAGGCGGGGATGCTGGGCCTGTTACCCTGCTGAGAAGTGTAAGCGGCAGGCTTGCTGGACAGAGCTGGGGCCTCACCTGCTGAGCTCTGCAGTCCGTCCAGCCCGGGGCTACTTGGGGCCCACATAGGAAACAGCCTTTCCCGTTTTATTCAGGGTTGCCAGCAGGGTGTCCACACTGTGCTCAGAGTCGATGGAAACCTTCTTGCTGGGCAGGTCAATGTTGAACTCAACTCCTGCAGCAAGAGGAAATGGGGTATGGGCAGCAGATGCCGGGACTCTCCCTGTTCCCTTCCAGCAACAAAGAGCTCAGGCTCCTGGATTACTGCTCAGAACCAAACGCCCTGCCTCTTTCCCTGAGACCAGGGACTGACAGGCGCATCTGGGCCAGAGAAGAAATCTTTGAAGCACAATAGGCTACTTGTGGACTCTGTTACATATCCTTCTCTGTAACTTCTTCCCCGTAGCCAGATGTGGTGGAGCACGCCAGTCATCCCAGCACTCAGGAGGCTGAGGCAGGAGGATCACCAAGAGTTCGAGGCCAGGCTGGGCTACACAGTGAGACCCTGTCTCAAAAAAACAAACAGAAACAACACCAACAACAAAATCCCCTAGTACTATTGCAGATAGGTTAGTTAGAAATTATTCCAAGACAGACAAGGCTGGGCTCTCAGCATGGAAAACAACTGAGGTACATTCACTGGTTAGGGAGCGAAAACTACTACACCCACCTACTTCCCTTGAGGATGAATAGCAGTGATTGATATTCCAAATAAACTTTAGTCACCTTGTTTGGGGACCAAAGCATCCCTAGCTGGCCCATTTGTTCCAGACTAGCTTCCCCATTTGACCCCATTTAATCATATTACCAGGGTGACTGTACTTGTAATCTTATTAGTTGCTCATGGCTTTGTCCTACCTCATGCCCACCTTGTAATTTTCTATAGGATCTTTTTTTTTGGTACTGGGGATCGAACTTGGGTCCTTGCTCTTGCGCAGCAGGCGGCAAAACCACTGAGCTAAATCCCCGGCCCTCCATAGGATCTTATAGTTTTGTCTCACCTTCAACCTGCCTTACCTCGTGGTTTTGCCCCATGAAACACCTTTGAGAAGCGGGGTGGACAGGCAACTCACTTTCCGGTCCCCCTTCTGTCTCTCTTTGACAGGAACTGTCTTTCAATAAATTTTCCCACTCTTAACTTCCATTGTTCCTAGAATTCACTCTTCAATTTTAGAAAACATCAACTTGCGTTTTGGATATCTAGCAGGCTGGGAGTTGTAATATCTCCCCTGTTTGGATTATTATGCTTATTTGGATTACTTGGTGCCCTATATCAGTACCAAAAAGAAAAGAAAACTCTAAGAACCATTCTGCATTGTATATAGAAACAGCCTGTGAGCTGGATATGACCCCAACCTGTAGTCTGCCTATCCCTACTCTAGATTAGGACTGCTTTCATTTTTCTAATTGCAAAAGTAAAAGACAAGCTGATATAGGAGACAGGGCGTGGTAGAGCGGGCTGGGGAAATGCGCCGCACCTGTCAATCATGAGCGCCCAGGGCAATGCCAGGACCCCCTCGACTTCGGAGAGACTTGATGGGAAGCTGCTAGCATGAGTTCCCATGATGACAGGGACACATTTCTCAGACTGGATATACTTAATATTTTTGCTTTTTACCCTTTTTACTTTGTTCATCCCAAATCGCTCTGCAGAGCTGGTTTCTCCTGTACCCATTCACCTCACTTTTCAAATAAACTTCTTGGCACTGTTTTTGGCTTTCTTGTCCAATTCTTTGTTCAAAGAAGAAGGCCCTGGAATACTCTCAACTGGCAAGCCACTTCTAAAGAAACTGCCCAACAGCAGGAGCATTTCAGGGGAAAAACGTTCCTGAATAAAACTACTAATCCTGACCCTTGACATGGCTTTGACTAGTTTGGCATCCATCCCAGATAAGCAAATGAGAAAGAGTTTTCCAAAGTGACATCACATTAGTGTTTCACTTTTCCACATCTATTTTCTATCTTTTGCGCTTAGCACATACAGACTCATCTCGTTCTTTTTTTGTACTGGAGAACGAACTCAGGACCTGCATTTTTTGAGGCAGGTGAGGTGCCACTGAGCTAAATCCCTGGCCCTCATTATTATTATTATTATTATTATTATTATTATTTTGGTACCGGGGATCAAACTCGGGACCTTGCACTTGCCAGGCAGGCGTCAGAGTGGCCCTCATTCTTTACTTTTAATTTAATGAACTTTGTGAAAGGGGGTGCTGGGGAGCAAGCTCAGGGTCTTACAGTTGCTAAGCTGAGCTCCACCTCTAGCCCCTTGCTTTTCCTTGAAACAGCTACCTCGTCTTTCACAGTGTGGACCCACCGTACACCTACCTAATTCCTCAATCTCTCTTAAAGGACACTGAGGTTGCTTCTACTTCTTTTTTCTTTTCAAGACAGGGTCTTGCCAAGCAGTTCAGGCTGACCTCGAATTCCCAGCGATCCTCCTGCCTCAGCCTCCCAAGTGCTAGGGTTACAGGTATGAGCCACCACCATGCCTGGCTGGTTGCTTCTACTTTTTCACTGCTATCATGATAGCAAACATACTCGAACATATCTTAGCAAACTCCGCAAGCCCTGTGACCTCCCCAAGAGGCGAAGCCTGTCTGAGCTCAGCGCTGCCCCAGGGCCTTGGCACAGGGCACAAGATTTTGCATCCCTGTAGGTAACGGGTACTCCGGCTGGCATTGCTGCATCCTTGCTGTGCTCCGGATCTTTGTTTCTGTCACATGAGGGTCTCCCTCATCTTTGGAATAGTTTGGCAGTAGCACGCAGCTGAAGGAAAACCATGGGGTCACCAAACACAGCAGATTCCAAAAGAAGTCCATCCCTTGGACTGCGCAGCACGGTGGTCTGTAATCCAGCACTCTTCGAGGCTGAGGCAGGAAAAACTACAAGCTTGAACCCAGCCTGGGCAACTTGGCAAGACCATGACTTAAAACGAAATAATAAAAAAGAGCTGGGGCATAGCTCAGTGCAAAGGCCCTGGGTTCAATCCTCAGCACCACCGAAACGAAACAAACTGTCCCTAGAGTCCAGGCTCCAGGGCAGGCACCCGAAGTCACCAAGGGAAGGAGATGCCGTCCGGGCTCACGAGGGGCCGTGCAGAGGGGTGGTCTGCAGTCAGCTTCTCCCCAGCAAGTCACTTCCCCTCGGGCACCGGGGCCAACATCCCTGCTTCACCTGGAAAGCTCAGCTCAGAGAGCCACTAGCACGGCTGCCTTCTGAAAACTGGGTCTCATCTCGGTCTAGGGTTTTAAAAATGAAAGAAACGCGAGGTCCTGAGTTCAATCCTCAATCCCTCGTACCAAAAATGAAAAACAAAAAACAAAAACCGGAAGAGAGAAGGCTGACCACGCCTGAGCCTCAGCACTGCCGGGACTCGGATCATAGACCAGTCATTTCTGAGCCCCAGGACCAGGTTTCAGCTTTCCTGGGGCCTCAGTTTCCCCAGAGGTGAGGGTGGGGATGCTGGATGAAAATAATGATTTTCTAAATATGTCTGAAAGATGCTCTGAGAGTTCTTGCGTCCCAGGTGTGTGGTGGTGCATGCCTATACTCTTGGCACTCGGAAAGCTGAGGCAGGAGGATCTCTGCGAGTTTGCCTGGGCTACATAGCCAGTTCAAGGGCAGCCTGAACTACAGAGTAAGACCCAGGGATCTGAACAGAGCCGGGCCTGGCGGACCATGCCATAATCCCAGCCTGGGCAACTCAGTGAGACTCCATCTCAAAATTAAAAAGGGCCGGGCATGTAGCTCAGTGCAAAGGCCCTAGGTTCAATTCCTACCACCAAAAAAAAAAAAGGACATTTAAAAAGTCTCACTGGACAACAACACTGAGATGTGTCACACAGCAAAAGCCGTCGCTCTGGAGTCACCAATGTATTAACCAGTGCTCCCAGAGCTCTGGCCCTTGCTGGCCCTGCGATTCCAGGCCAGCCACCGAGCCTCTCTGACCTTCAGCTCCCCCTCTTTAAAATGGACACGGTGAAGCCGTATGTGGGCCCGCAGCTGTCATCCCAGCACTCTGGGAGGCTGAGGCAGGAGGATCACAATTGCAAGCCCAGCCTGGGCAACTTAATGACTCAGTAAGATCCTGCTTCGAGATTTAAAAAAGAAAAGGACTGGGGGGTGGGGGGCGGGCAGAGATGTTCAAAGCTGCGACCTGAAACGGCTGTCCAGAGGCTTCAATGATGCGGTCCAGGGAGCCACCAGGCCCAGCCAGCACGGAGGCCGGCGGGCTCTCCGAACGTCCGCTCTCACGGGGCCACTCCCTCCCACTCCCACCGGTTGGCTCGGGGGCGGGGCAGCCCCAGCTCACTCACCTCCCAGCTTGCTGAGCACGCGAGAGACCGCCTCCGCGCAGCCTCCGCAGGTCATGTCCACGGAGAATTCGTGCTTCTGAAAAGAGGGGGACGTGAGCCGAGCTCGCAGGGAGCTCGGGCTGCACCGGCACCCGGCCCACTGGGCCAAAACCGAGCGCAGAGACCGGGAGGTCTGGGTGGCGTCAGGGGCACTGCACGCTTAATCATTTTTATTTTCTGCTTAAGACAGTTTCGCTGTGTAGTTCAGCCTGGCCTTGAACTCACTATGGCGCCTAGGCTGGCCTCGAACTCCCGGCGATCCTCCTGCCTCAGGCTCCCTGGTGTTGGGACTGCAGGTGTAGACCCTCACTGGGTCCTTATTTCTGATCCTCAGCTTTTCTAGCGAAGTAACTAAGGGCTTCTACAGCCCACACGGTGTGCTGAGTGGTCTCTGCAGATCCACTCGGGGCCTGGCACACAAGGAAAGGACCCCCTGAGAGTCAGTGTCAGAAACAGTTCCTGCCCGCTCCTATCTTCAAATTAGATTCGTGCGCTCTGGGCCGAGTCGAGGGCTCCCAGAACTCTCGCACGGACAGCCCCTCGAGCAGCGCTGATCCCCGCCCTTTTCTGCCGCAGAACAGGATTTTCCGTGCTGGGACCCCGGAGGTTCCGAAATCCGCGGGTTCTGAGAGGGCCGGGGCGGGCCACTCCGTCGGGAGAGCGGCCCGAGTGATCCCCCAGCACCTCTCCCCAAGCCCACACTGCAGTCCCAGGAGACAGCGGTCCTGTTCCTGTCACTGCTGCGTCCCCAGCTCCGGGACAGCGCGGGCAGAGCGCGCCACACGTTCCCGAGTGAGCAGGTAACAGTTACGGCTGCCTGAGGATTTCTGAGCCGCGTTCTCTGCCTTCGGAAAAGGGTGACCCACTAATAATTCCTCTTTTTTTAATCTCTGGCAATGTGAACACCCGGGATCGGGTAACTGTGACGTCCGACACCAGCTTACTAGCTAGATGACCATGACTCAGTGACTTCACTCCCCTGGGCCTTGGTGTCCACATCTGCAAAATGGAGAGGGATGAGCTAGGCGTGGAGGCGCACACCTGTGATCCCAGCACTCCGGGAGGCTGAGGTAGGAAGATGACAAGTGTGCGTCCAGGCTGGACAAATTAGCGAGATCCTGTCTCCAAACAAAAAGGAAAAAGGCCTGGGGATGTAGCTCAGTGGGAACGCCCTCAACTCAACCCAGTTGCCCCAAAAGGAAAATAAAACCCCTCAAATGGAGAGGGATGACAGCGCTCTCCAGGCTGGTAGATGAGACGGGCACAGCCCTTTAGGCGGCCACAATCGCGGCCTCGATCCTCTGGCCTCTTTGCCGCTGGGCAGGGCCTGAGCAGGGTCTCAGGGTTGGCCTGTGTGCTCAGGGACGCTGCCGAGGCGAGGTCTTTAGCTCCACCCTGCTCTCTTCCTGGGTCACTCCCTCTAGAGGAGGCCAGCTGCAGGGACAAGGGCGCGGGAGCAAGCTCACAGCCCTTTGAGTGAGTCCTGGCAGCGGGCTCCCCGGGACGCAGCCTCAGACCGCATCCTGGCACTTTCCTGGGAGGCTCCAGGCCGGGCCACTGGGCCAGGTGGCTCCCAGGCGCCTGCTTCTCGAAAACCGTGTCTACGCCGTTTGGAACTCCTGCTTCGGGATTCTCACCAAAGAGCAATGGATGAGCAACGCACTGGATAAAAGCTTGGAGCCTCGTACGGAGTTCCTCCGGGTAAAAAGTTAGTTACTGGATTACGATGCCTGTTTTCTCCACGGTCTCTTCTTTCCCTCAAAAAGCAGGGTCACAGGCTGGGGATGCAGCTCAGCAGCCAAGCATTTGCCTAGCATATCCAAGGCCCTGGATTTGGTCCCTAGTGCCTCAAAAAATTAGTAAGAGCTGGATGTGGTGGTGCATGCCTATAATTCCAGCACTCAGGAGGCCGAGTCAGGACAATCACTGTGAATTTGAGGCCAGAGTGGGCTACATAGAGTCCAAGGTCAGCCTGGACTACATAGCGAGACCCTGTCTCAAAAACAAAACAAAACACAATGTCTACCTTTTTCATGACACACATGAAATATTTCAAATCTATTACAGATGGAGTATTCCTTATCTGAAAGGTTTGGAACCAGAAGTATATCAGCTTTCAAATTTTTTCAGATCTCGGAATATTTGTATATACATGAGACATACTGGGATGGACCCCAAGTCTAAACATGAAATTTATTTGTTTTGTGTATACTTTGTACCCATAGGCTGAAGGTATTTTAGGGAATATTTTTAGGGCACCTGTGTTTGGACTGTGACCCATCACATGAGGTCAATGTGAAATCTTCCACTTGTAGCATCATGTCATCATCACTCAAAAGGTCTGGGGTTTTGGAGTATTTCACAAAAAAAGAAAAGGAAAGAAAAAGGTGGGGGAACCAGCTGTATTGGTGCACACTTGTAATCTCAGCATTTGGGGGCTGAGGCAGGAGGATCTCTGTGAGGTGAAGGCCGACTCGGGCTCCATAGTTTGTCCAAGGCCAGCCTGAACTGTACAGTGAGATCTTGTCTCAAAAACAAACAAAACAGCCTGGGATTTAGTTCAGTGGTTCCGATGCCTGCCTTGAAAGGGCAAGGTCCAGAGTTCGATTCCCTGAACTAAAACAAATAAATAAAAACAAAACAAAACACCAAGCTCAATCCCAGCCTGGGCAACTTAGTGACTTAGCAAAACCCTGCCTCAAAAAAAGGGGTTGTGGCTCAGTGACAAGACCCTGGGTTCGATCCCCAATACCACAAAAGTAAGCGGGGCTCCCGGAAATGCTCACTCTAAGGCCCCAGCCCGGAACTCTTGGATCAGAGTCCTTACTTTTAACAGGACATCCGGGTCATTCCTACCCACACTGCGCCTGAGACCTGGATTCACAAAGCCAGGTTTGCCAGGCCAGGCATGTGGGCGCACACCTGTAGTCCGAGCACCCTGGCAGGCCTAGACAGGAGCATCACAAGTTCGAGCCCAGCCTGGACAACTTAGTGACTTAGCAAGAACTTATCTCAAAACGAAAATAAAAACAGCTAGAAATATAGCTTAGTGCGAAGGCCCTGGGTTTAATTGCCAGGACTGAAAAGAAAAAAAATTTGATTCCCATTACCCCCCCTGCAAAAAAGAAGAAAAAAAGCTTCATAGGAACACAGACAAGCCTGTTTATTTTTGCAGTGAAACAGCAGAGGTGAGTAGCCCCAACTATATAGTTTGTGGAACCCGACGTGTATGCCGCCTGGCCCTTTCAAGAAGTTTGCATGGGCTTGCTCTAGATCCTACCACACCGGGGAGAACCATCGGTGGTTGGAGCCCGTATACTGAGCCCCCAAGATCAGCACAGGAGTGAAACCTACCAAGGGCCTACGACGTGTCAGACTCGCTCACCTTCCCCGCCGGAAAAGGGAGCCAGGGAGCCGCTCGTTCTACTCAGCTCCGGGCAGAGAGCGAAGTTCCCAGGGGTTCATAAGGCGCCCACCCCGTGACGTGACCCCCACGGGACCCAGGCTTCCTCAGGCCCAGGAAATCGTGTGTGGCCGGAACGGCGAAGTTTCCCACCACCCACAGCCCTGACTCTGGAAAGTGGAAACCTCGCTGAAGAGCAAGCACTGCTGCTCAGGGACCTGCGGCCTCTGGGGCCGCCCTCCGGAGGCCGTGCAGAGGTCAGAGGTGACTTCCGGTGGCAAACAGGACTCCTCACGGCTCTCCTCCTCCACCTTAGCAGCAAAACTAAATGTGAGGATGACAGAAATCTGCGGAAGGACAGAGCCAACCATTCTGCAGAGGCGACTCTCAGGACCTGTCCCAGTACCTGCTGCGTGGGGCTCCTGCTGGGCCACTTGTAAAAGGAGTCCCTCAGAGGCGATTTCAGAGTAACACATAACGGCTTCACCAGACTCTCAGACAGAGGAAGGTGGGGATCGAGTCCAGGGAAGAGATGATTTCGTCCCTGAACACTCCGATGACTCACCCGGCATCTCCTAACACTACTATTTCAGTGCGGATCATGTGCCGGGCATTGTTCTGCACATTTTTTCTGAATTATCTTGTTTAATCATCTCAACAGTCCCATTAAGTAGGTACGACTACTATTATTACTCCCCTTTTTGACATAGGGTCTCACTATATATATGGTCCAGGCCAGCCTTGAACTTGCCATGTAGCCCAAGGTGGCCTTGAAGGGGAGACCCTCCTGCTTCAGCCTCTTGAGTGTTGTGATTACACTGTAGCCAGTTTATCAGCCTCTCTAGACACATGAGGAAGCTGAGGTTTAAAGGTTAGGACTCTTAGGCCAATTCCCCAAATCTCAATTCTTAACCACCGAGGTCTTTCTTCAAATGGAGTTGAAGCTGGGCATGGTGGCACATATGTGTAATCCCAGCTACTTAGGAGGCTGAGGCAGGAGGATCACAAATTCAAGGCAAAGTAGGACAACTCAGCAAGACTTCATCTCAAAAAAGAATTTTTTTATTTTTCTTTGCAGTGCTGGAGATCAAGGCCAGGGCCTGACCCAAGGCTGGGGATGTGGCACTGTGGTACAGCAATTTCCCAGCATGCTCAAGACTCTGAGTTCAGCTGGGGATGGTGGCGCACACCTGTTATCCCAGCACTCAGGAGGCTGAGGCAGGAAGATCACCACAAGTTCGAGGCCAACCTGGCCTACATAGTGAGTTCGAGGCCAGTCTGAACTGCATAGACACCCTGTCTCTAAAAATTAAAAAAACAAAATGGCCCTGGGTTCCATCCCCAGTACAAGAAAAAAGGCAGTTAAAATTGTGGATCTACAGTGCGCCTGGTCTACTTTGGTTTCCATTTCCTGGAGACTGGATTCGTCAGTGGCTGTGCTGTATATTCCACTGGCATTTCCCCAGTTGTACCAACAATGGTCCCGTTAGGTCAGTTTTTATCCTCATCTTACAAATGAAGAAATCAAAGAGGAGAGAGGGGAGTGATGTGCCTCTGCTGCCCCAGCTGGCCCCTAGGATACAGATTCCCCAGGCGAACGCCCACCTTCCTTCAAGTGTGCATCTTTGATACAATGCTCAGCACCTCCTCGTTCTCATCACGGCCCCAAAGCCCCAGAAGTGGACACAGCCTCGAGCTGGCCTCTCCCTTACTGCCACCCCCAGCAACAACCTGGTGGCCCCCACTCCAGGGTCCCAGGTGATTCACGGTCACCTCTAACACTGCCCAGGAGGACTTGCTCAACAGGTAGGGCCGATCCCGTCTGCTTCTTTGTCTACAGTGTATTACCTAAGGATTTGTCTCAAGGCACCCCGCAAGACTCAAAGGAAATGACACGTGACAGGCTTAAGTCTCTGCCCAGGGGGCCCAGGGCTCACCTGTCAGCTCCCAATGGACAGGCTGCCAAGCCACTGTGCACCTGCCGGGACCTCGGGGTACCCACCTGGCCCAGGGCCTGAGCCAAACACCCTGGAGGAGCCTGCTGCACACTCCCTGACCCAAGCCTGCATCTGGGGAACCCACTGGGATCAGAGCCTTCTCCCAAGCCAGTAGGACTGGTTTTGTCTGACCTGGAGGCCGGGAGAGGAAGGAAGGGCCTTCATCCTGATTCTACCCAGTTCCTAATAAATGCTCCCAATAGATTCCTGGGCTTTTCTTGTTTGCCTTCATCTCTTGCCTAAGAGAGGAGGCTGTAAGCATCCACGTATATGGCTGGTTAGACAGCTGCATAGCAAGCAAGCTAAGTCCCCCTTACCTACTCATTTCTCCCCAGACTCTGATCTCGACAAGTGGCCACGGTGGGCAGGTTCCTGACGCTGTTTGAGTCTCGGGGCTTCAGGATGAGAAAGGCCGGGTAGGAGAGGCGAAAAGCACCACCTCGAGTCCCCGACCCCAGAGCTGACCTGGGAGCCCGCCAGGCGGCAGGGGAAGTGAGGAAAGCAAAGTCTGAGGCGACGCTCGGCCCACCCACCGGCTGGGCGACCCCGGCCCCAGGCCAGCACGCGGGCGGGGCCGTCCACGGGCAAGGCCAGGGACCAGGCGACCCCGCGCTCGCTCTCCGGCCGCTTCGTGGGCCTCAGTTTCCCCATACGGAATATGCAGGGAGGTCCAGGCGTGTGATCGATCCAGCAGGCCTTGCACCTCGAATCCCGGGGCCCGCTTTAGTCGGAACCCTTTGGGTTTCTGGAGGGTCGCAGAGGCCGGAGGGTGGGCGGCGAGGAGTACGCAGAGGAACAATCGCTCCCGGCCGCAGCATCAGGGCAGGCGGCGGGCCACTTACCGGCATGACTGAGGCGACAGCGGGGACTGCAGGGGGGCGGCAGCAACGGCAACGCCTCTCCCCGCCAGAGGACGGGATCCGCCACGCTTCCGGGAGTGCGCACAGGGAGGCCCCGCCCCTTCGGCGGGCCAGGACCCAGCCCCGCCCACGGCGTGCCTGCGGTTGGGCAACCCTTAGGGGCGTGTCCCGCGCTGCCCCCTCCCCCGCCCCTCCGGGCGGGCTCTGTTCGGGCACCGCCCACTCCGGCGGTGTGGATCGCCTGCAGCCCGGTGGGTCCGCGCGCTCGCTTCCGGCCTGCGGCAGCGCCGAGAACCGGACAGAACCCGTCCTGCCCTAAAGGGACAACCTCACTCTGTTCGCCCGGTCAGTACCCCGGGGCCGGCCTGGGATCCCAGCCCTCGAGAGGCTGAGGCAGGAGCACCAGCGCGAGTTCGAACCCAGCCTGGGCTTCGAAGAGACATGCTGTCTCAAAAAAAATAAAAGCTGTGTACTAACAACAGAGAGTGGAAAAACAATCCCTTCTTTCTTTTTTCCTTTTTCTTCTCTTTTTTTTTTTTTTTTTTGTTACACTAGGGATTGAACCCAAGGCGTTCACACTGAGCCACAACCCCTTTTTTTGAGGCAGGGTTTTCCTTCCCAGGGCTTTGTTTTATTTTCATTTTGAGAAGTGGACTCACAAAATCGCTTGAATTGCCCAGGTTTGACTCAAACTTTCGATCCTCCTGCCTCAGCTTCCTCCTGCCTCAGCCTCCCAGAGAGCTGGGATTATTCCAGATATGCTGGATGAGGGAGGAGGTAATAATGTGCATTAAGGAGAAAGTGTTTGCGCCCCGGTCTTCCAAGGAAGGAAGATGTGCTAGTTGGGAAAGGAGGGGAGAGAGAACCTCTTAGGTACTGGTCACATGTAGAAAAGTGGGAAGACAGACGTGCTGGCCTGATTTGAGGACAGAGACAGGAGACAGGCTCAGACAGGTGGAGAAACCAGGTGGTGGACATGAACGACACAAAAGGGAGCGGGACCAGAACTACACACACACACACACACACACACACACACACACACACACACACACGGGTTGGGGGGGTGACTCTGCTCTTGAATTAGGACCCTGCCAAGGCGCTAAATCTAACTTAGTAATTTTGAAACAGGGTCTCACTATATAGTTCAGGCCAGCCTTGTGCTCACCATGTAACCCAGGCTGGCTTCAGACTCGTGGGGATCCTCTTCCCTCAGCCTCCTGAGCTCACAGGCTGCACCACAAAGCCCGGATCATTTAACCTTTCTCACCTCAGCACAGGCTCTGTCTCCCAAAGCATTCACATTGGGGCACTAGGGCATCAACATAGGTGTGTTGGGAGATGTACTTCATTCCACGGCACAGGCATATAAATCAGAGCGTGAATCTCAGCCTTAGCATTTTTCAGCTGTGTGACCTTGGGAAGATTAATTCACTTCTCTTAAACCTCAGTAGCCTTCTGGCAAGATGGCGGAGTACAACCAGACCGTGTGCATCACGCACTTCTTGGACCGGAGGTCCTCCCGCTGCTGGAGTTTCTCTCTGTGAAGGGGATATATAATGAGAAAGAATTATTACAAGGGAAGTTGGACCTTCTTAGTGATACCAACATGGTTGACTTTGCGATGGATGTGTACAAAAACCTGTATTCCGATGACATGCCCCATGCTTTGAGAGAAAAAAGAACCACAGTTGTTGCACAACCGAAACAACTAACTTCAGGCAGAAACAGAACCAATTGTGAAAATGTTTGAAGATCCAGAAACGACGAGGCAAATGCAGTCAACCAGGGATGGTCGGATGCTATGTGACTACCTGGCAGATAAGCATGGGTTTAGACAAGAATATTTAGATACACTCTACCGGTATGCAAAATTCCAGTATGAATGTGGGAATTACTCAGGAGCAGCAGAATACCTTTACTTTTTTAGAGTATTGGTTCCAGCAGCTGATAGAAATGCTTTAAGTTCCCTCTGGGGAAAACTGGCCTCTGAAATCTTAATGCAGAATTGGGACGCAGCCATGGAAGACCTTACCCTCTTAAAAGAAACCATAGATAACAATTCTGTGAGTTCTCCACTCCAGTCTCTTCAGCAGCAGTGAATGTGGCTCATCCCCTGGTCTCTCTTTGTTTTCTTCAGCCACCCCAAAGGTCGAGGTAATATTATTGATCTCTTCCTTTACCAACAACAGTACCTTAATGCAATTCAGACAATGTGTCCACATATTCTCCGCTATCTGACCACTGCAGTCATAACAAATAAAGATGTTCGAAAGCGTCAGCAGGTGCTAAAAGATCTAGTAAAAGTTATTCAACAGGAGTCTTACACATATAAGGACCCGATTACAGAATTTGTTGAATGCTTCTATGTTAACTTTGACTTTGATGGGGCTCAGAAGAAGCTGAGGGAATGTGAATCAGTGCTGGTGAATGACTTCTTCCTGGTGGCCTGCCTGGGGGACTTCATTGAGGACGCTCGTCTCTTCATATTTGAGACTTTCTGCCGTATCCACCAGTGCATCAGCATTAGTATGCTGGCAGATAAACTGAACATGACTCCAGAAGAAGCGGAAAGGTGGATTGTGAATTTGATTAGAAATGCGAGGCTGGATGCCAAGATTGATTCTAAATTAGATCATGTGGTCATGGGTAACAACACAGTCTCACCCTCTCAGCAAGTGATTGAGAAGACTAAAAGCCTCTCTTTTAGAAGCCAGATGCCGACCATGAGTATTGAAAGGAAGCTTCATCAGAATAGTAGGTCGGAGGTTTTAGGCTCCTAACTGGGCAACCCAGGATTCTGGCTTATACTGAGGAACTATAAAGAAAACATGGAAAAAATATGAAACAATAAAACCATTATATAATGGGTAATATTCATTTTAAAAGCAATTAATGTTTAGTGTAAATTTTGAAGAATTTGAATAAAATTGGCTATGGTTCATTAAAAAAAAAAAACCTCAGTAGCCAGTAGGATGTGGCGGCACACACCTGTCATCCCTACACTCAGGAGGGTGAGGCAGGTGGATGACTGTGAGTTCAAGGCCAGCCTGAACTATATAGCAAGACCCTGTCTCAAAACCCCCCAAAATAAAGCAAGCAAGCAAGCAAGCTGGGGAGGTAGCTCAGTGCAAAAGCCCTGGGTTTAATCCCCATTACCAAAGAAAACAAAACAAAATCTTAGATTGTCCAATCCCTCTTTTCTTTTCTTTTCTGGTACCGGGCTGCGGAACCACTGAGCTAAACCCCCAGCTCTCCCTCTCTTCTCTTTAGCGCTATTCCATGGCAGAAGTCGTAGGCTGACTAATCCAGCATTTCTAATCTTTCTATTCTTGCTTTCTATTCTTTCTCTTTCTCCCCTGCAGCCAGATGTGCCCCATTACGTGGCTCTAGCCAAGGAGACAAGAGCAGAAGTTTGCCAGGAGGCTTCTGGGAAAGCTGGCACCTTCCTCTCAAAGGGAACAGATACCATGCCTTTCCATCCGGCCCACAGCCCCAGGTGACTATGTGATGTCTAGATAAAGGACACCGTCTTGCAACCAGGAAGAAAATCACAGAGTAGCTGAGGGTAGTGGCACACGTCTGTAGGCCCAGCACTCGGGAGGCTGAGGCAGGAGGATCATCATGAGTTTGAGGCCAGCCTGGGCTACATAGTGAGTACAAGGCCAGCCTGAACTACATAGGGAGACCCTGTCTCAAAAAAAAAAAAAATCACAGAAGTACCACTTCTGACAGTGGAGTTCTGAACCCGTGTCAGCCCAGCTGGCCTCCAGACAAGTTGTGTGAGAAATGTAAGCCCATAGGTGTTTTACCTACTGCCAAGCTAACTTCCGGTCACTTGCCCTGGACACATCCTTACTGATAGAGTCCCCTACTGGTAGACACCATAGGTTTCCTCCAATCTTTTTTATTTTTTTGGTGGTACTGGGGATTGAACCCAAGGCCTCCACACTGAGCTGCATCCCAGGTCCCTCGGTACTGTTCGTGCTCTCTCACTGAGGACCAGACACCAGCTGCCTGAACCTGATCCCGGGTGGCTGGTCCTGGGTGGCTGGCGGATGGGGCCAAGACCTCTGACTTTGGGTAATCCCATCTGCATGCTGATGGCACAGCCCCCAGGTTCCGAGGTGACAGTTACAATGGGGGCAAAGTGGCTCCACCCAGGTTGCAGGAAAATCTCCACGGCCTCTGCAAATAGATCAATATTGATTCCCCTCATTTCTTTTATCCTGTCTAAGACCTCCCAACCCCAACAGGTCAAGAACTAGATTTGGAAGTTTATCTACCGCTTCTATTCTTGGCCAAGAATAAAATCCTCCTTTGCTGCTCAATTGACCATCTGTCTTGTTATTAGTTCTACAGGGAGAAACAGACACTGTTTAGAGTAGAAAATTGGTCCTTAGTGGAGACCCAGCGTCACAGCCAAGGGCCAACGAGCACGTGGGAAGCTGCTCTCTTGTTCCTTTATTCTCTCGAGAGCTCTAAGGCTTCAGGATTTTTTTTTTTTGAGACAGGGACTTGCTATGTAGTTCAGACTGGCCTTGAACCCCACAGCGATTCTCCTGCCTCAGCCTCCCCGGTGCAGGGATTACAGGCATAGGTCACCATGCCCAGCTGGCTTTAGGATTTTAAAGGTGTGTTTTATGAGACGACCCAGACAAACCCATTTTCAGTTCCCAGCCATTTTAAGCAGCTAACCTCTCAGAACCTCTCTTTTCCCTTGTGAAAGATAATTTTTAGATCTCAGTGGTCTTATGAAAAATAAAAACACTCATAAAGTACTCAGCTAAATGGTGCAGAAGTCTCCTGAAATGACATTTAAAGGGTTACCACAAAGTAATTTTATAATTATATAGCATAAGAAATGTTTCCTTTTGTATTGTTCTGTGTTTTGAGATAGGGTCTCCACGCTGTATTTCTCTGAAAATAAGACCTAACTGGAAAATGAGCCTGGTCATGATTTTCTCAGGATGCTCATAATATAAGCCCTGGCCCCCAAATAAACCCAGTTAAGACTGTCAGATAGACAGGCCCATTTAGTACTTCCTTTACAACCCAGGATGGATGTACTGAATTATAAAATAATATTAATAT